TCTTTCCCTGCTTGGCTGTTAACAACACAGAAAATTATGAAATAGCCACACACGAAAGGACTTAAAAATATATTTTTCTTAGAAACAGTTTTTAGTTAGAAACTGCAGAGCTCACATAGCTGTATACTTCATCAGTATGAAGGTCATGTTTAGAATTCAAAGTGCACGTTAGTTTCCAGGTCCATATTTAAATTATAAATCTTGTTTTATGACAGATTAAGGTAAACATTTTTTATGTGGATAAGGTCACCTTCTTTAAATCAATCCACCTCACTGACTTCACAGGAGCTGCTACAATGACTGTTGGTCTCTATTCAGAGCTAGCACAATGACTCTTCAAGAAAAAAGACTGAAGTAGATTTTTAAACAAAAAAAAAAAAATCATGCTGATAAACTACTACCAATCTGTAAGGTTCTGAACTTTGCCCCTAAAGTTTAGCAAAGCTAAAGTTTAGGCAACTTATAATTTTGTAAATATCTAGAGTGATAGAACGTGTCTATATTAAAAGGCAATCCAGGAGAGTTTCAGCTCTGATCACAGAAAGATCATCACACATTCAGCACGTGCTGTTAGTCATGCAGTTATTTGCTGTCACTTATCTTGGTACCCTGCCAATGCTAATGTGACAGTGGTTATAACACATAGCTAAGCTCAAAGTGCTTCACAGGTTGCATTCTGCTCTCAGAATACCCAGTAAAGTGTTTCCACACAGCAATCCTGCCACCGCTGAGGGGAAAACAGAGCCCCCAAACAGCAGTCTGGTTTAGTTCCTCATTACAAAAATATCACAGGTAAGAATGTAAATTCAAGATTTCCTGGGCTCACCTGTTCCTGCATTGCAACCTTTACCCTTATCCCTCCAGCACACGAGGAATCACACAAAACCACAGCATCACTATGGTTGGAAAGGACCTTTAAAATCATTGAGTCCAACCACTATCTAACTCCACCAGGCCACTTCTACACCATATCCCTGAGCACCCCATCTAGACAGCTTTTAAATACATCCAGGGATGGTGATCCCACCACTTCCTTGGGAAGCCTGTTCCAGTCCTTGAGAACTTTTTCAGTGTAGAAGTTTTTCCCTAATCCCTAACCTAAACCTCCCTGGCATAACTTAATACCAATTCCTCTTGTCCTGTCAGTTATGGCCTGTGAAAAGAGGCCCACACCCACCTCCTCACAGCCTCCTTTCAGGTGGTTGTAGAGAGCAACAACATCTCCCCTCAACATCCTCTTCTTCATGCTAAACAACTCCAGTTCCCTTAGCCACTCCTCATAAGGCTTATCCTCAAAACCCTCCACCAGCTTTGTTGCCCTTCTTTGCACCCGCTCTAGAATCTCAATGTCCTTCTTATACTGTGGTGCCCAAAATTTAACCCAGTACTCAAGATACAGTCTCACCACTGGTGAGTACAGTGTGACAACGACCTCTCTAGTTAAGACAGGCAGGTTGTGATAGAAAGGAAGTAATGCAGGGAGTAGGAGGGAAGATCTCAGCCCAGCTTACTTGGAGCCTCCACAGAGATAGTGTACTCATTTTCCATCTCGGCCAGCACACGCACAGATGATCCATTCTCTGGAGAGAATTCAACTTCAGTTTTCACTTCGCCGTCTAGTTTACGTTTCATGATAATATAAACTGTTGTCTGCACCTAAGAGAAAAGGCATTACACAACACACAGGTTCACAACTTAAGAATACACAGTAAGTCATTTTTCTAGTGATTTTGTTGTCATTGCAACTCACAGGTAAATCATCATCTGTCATATTTACAGTCCTGAGTGGTTTCAGGAGCATCTTCCAGACATGGAGTAAATGGGCAGGTAGCTTCTGTTTACAACTTGCACCAGCACAGATGCATGCATCAAGCTGATAAAACTCCAGATTTATCAGCCAGGTTTATAAACTGATTAAGCTAGATTTACAAAATTTCTGTTTCAACTCTGTCAGTCTCTTCCCTCAAGGAACACAGCCCCATTTTAAACAGGAAAAAAAAAAGAAGAAACAGTTTTTCTATATAAGGGGATGCTATACTAAGAAATGCTGGTTTTTCAGACAGGAAGACATGATCCAAGCTCTTTGGAGTCATTTGCAGGACATGCATCAGAATTGTCATATGAGTTCATTACACACTTTACTCCACTTGCCACTCCTAATGGAAGCAGCAGGGAAGATGGAGAGTCAAGAGTGTGAACCTGCCTCACAGCACACAAGCAGATCAGCTTTGTTAATGAGACTATCAGTAAGTTCCACTGCAGCCTAGACACAACCAGGCAATGCATGTTACCAGGCTATTTCTAGGCCTAAGGAACCGAGCTCATGAAACAGACCCTGAGGACAGGGGGCTGAGAGGGAAGGTGACAGAAGGAATGAGGGACTAAATCCCAGGGCTGTAAAGCTGTCCATTGCAGAGCAGCATAATGGGTTGCACAAGCCCACAGGAAGAATGTAGCCCAAGGAGTGGACATACAGTACCCCACAACGTATGCGATCAGGCTGCACAACCAGATGGCCCCCAGTCCTCTTGGATGAACCATGTTCTTCACTCATGGCAAGCCTGTGGGAGTAAACTGGGTTCTTCTCGTCTTCTGTTTCTGTATCAGTCACAGAGTCACAGCCTGAGTCTAAAATAAAGCATACAGAGTCCTGTCACATCACTCCCCTTTGCTGAAAATGCATATCATATCCATCCATCCTGAGAAACAGCCAGGGAGGTGGTGGGGTGAGACTTGCTATTCTTCTCAAATCAGTGGTCAGAAAAGGGGATCTTGTTGAAGAAAGGGAAACTACAGAGCTTCCTCTTTTTTTTTTCCCTTAAGAGAATTGCTGGAGAACATTCACAAAGATACAGCAGTGCTGCAGTAGCACTGAACGTGCTTGCAAAACAAACAACGAAGCCACTCTTTGCTGAGATGGACAGTCCCTTCCCATTTTACACAGGAAAACCACCTTGTCAATGTCTAATGTAAGAACAGTTACCAGCTGGACTCATCCAAGTCCATCTGAGGTCTGACTACATTGTAGGATGGGCATTTCAGCCTTTAGTCTTCCTCTCATAAAGTAAATGAAGGAAACCAACTTTTCTTTCATTTCAGTGCTATCTTTAGTTTTCTGAATCCTCCTTATGTTGCTCATCCCAACTACCACATTGATTTATTGTGTTGGCAAAATACAACATGAAGCAGTAGTCTGAAGGGATTCTGTTCCTTGAGCAAGAACTATGAGCTCCCCTATCTATCCAAGAGTGAAACTGAAATATTCTTCAGCTCAAAGGCTCTGGTACAACAGTAGCCAGCAGAACAGCAGGCTACCCAAACAGATCCAATAGTAGAAGTAAACAAATGTAACCCTACAGTCTGTGTGTACAAAAAGTTCTCATTCCTGTTCCCCAGTAGCAGCATGGATATTAACAGACGAGCAAACAAATTTTATTTCTATCATTGGCTGAAAAAAAAAAATCACAGCAAGAATTAAATTAGATTACAGGTCTCCTACCCCTTCCAGGAAATACTTTTTCCCAACGAGAGAAAGGAAACAACAGACAATTTTGTATATACTTAGTAGAGAGCACTTTCTCATCCAGTTTCTATCTCTTGATTCACGTGCATCAAATTCACAATTTTCCCCCATCTCCAAAAATGTGGGGTGAAAGTTACTCACTTCTCTTTGTCAGAAAATTAGCATGAATTCTTAAAGCTATATTTCCCATATTCAAAATTTTCCAAACCCTGGAAAGCTGTGAGGTAGCCAAGGATTTAAGACAATTTGGAAGTTATGTTTTATTTATTACTTACTGTACAACATCTGAAAAGAGCAGTAAAAACTATTTACTAAATAAAATCTCAGATTTGAACTGGCAGAGTTTTTATATTAGTAATTAATGCTCTTGACTGTAGGTTAGTCCTGCTGAGACAGACCTATTCAACAAACCACACTACCTGTAGCATTCATACAATGAAGCTGCCACCAGTCCAGGTTTTACTCAGAATCACTCAGCCTCTGGGTACATCAGGTTTCCACAAATGAAGAGAGCTAAAGTTATTCAAGCAGGCTTCTATTAGGTGTTCATGTCCTGCTAGTTTCAAATAGTGCAGCTAAAAGTCAGGAATTTAAATCCAGACTTCTTAATTATCACTAACAAATACTTAAACTTTGACAAAATTTAAATTAACCTTACTTTTTTAATATAGTTTCTATACATTTATACAGGATTTTTATTCATTATATGACTGCAAATTTGTTTTCAGAAGACAGGCGTCAAGCCACAAAATCTTAGCAAATCATTCAGCTGAAATTTTTGTCACAAAAAGTGGTGCACATACTTAAGTATGTGAATCACCCCATGTAGCAAGTAAGCCTGTTCACGAGTGCAACAGGTAGATGCTTTAATGTCTTCTGTAAAAAGAGTAGAGCCCAAAATCTGCAGCTCTAAAGTTCAAAGAAGGCACAACCACCAACACCAACATTTCTAAAACAAAACTACCTACACACACTAGAACACTTGCCCAATATATTGTTCATTTCAAAGGAAAATGAAGCCTAAAGCTGTTGATCTCAGCTGGAACATCTACATGCAAGGATAAGAGGGAAGCAAGGACAGAATAAGACCCTCGGTCTCTCTGCCTTACTGCTGCTATTTGATAGAAGAAATGAATTAGCACAGAAGGAGTAACCAGAGCTTTTAAGAAGTTGGGCATTGCCTGACCCTGTCTCACACTTCTGCATTCTTGCAACAGGGTTGACTGCCCAGAGATCATGTGTAAGAACAGAGCTATGAAGTAATACAGGAAGAAGCAAGCAACGTTAATCACTAATTGGATTAACAGCTGACGGAACAAGAACTCGTTGTTTCGGGTATGAATTATTCATCTATTTTTCCATTCAGAAAATTCTGAAATTGCAAGCTTCCTACATAAGCAGAGAAGTGATGTGAATTCATCTTATAAGCTCCAGTCACGTGCTGCTGACTTGTGAGCATGCAATCACTGGAAGAGGAAACCATTCCATTACATTCGGTAACACCCCTGCTCTAAAGGGACATGTAGTTAGATCAGGCTTCCCATCCACTAAGATACCTGATTAATGACAACTCATTTGCATACAGAGATGCAGCAGTTATGTCACTGTAATGATACCCAAGCTAAAGAGGCCATCACTGAGGAGATCAGACTCATTAGAAAGTTAAATGAATACCTGAATTGAGCTTCTCCATGAGCAGCTGCTGCAGGTTAACAGCTCGTGGTTATAAACAGCTCTGCCGTGACTGGAGGGCCTTTCTGTTCCCCTTTTATATGAAGGCTACTTCAGGCCACGTTTGACAGTCTGTGAAATACTTGTGAGAACAGCAGCAAGGGGAGGAGATGTGGTCCAAGAAACCCAACCACATTTCCCCTAGAAGAACATGCTCCCCTCCAGGAAGCATCACTAGCTGAGCTAAAGTGAGCAGCCCCATGCTGGCCTCTTCTCACCTGCTCTGCTGGGCTCCACACACTGCTGCCCTGCAGAAACTCACTCCTGAAAAAAGAAAAACAGGGAAAAGACTGGCATGGCCACATGCTTTACAAACCACCTAGCAGCTTTAGAAACTAATGGGAAGCAGCCAGTTCTTTTGACCTGTTGCTGTACAGTGCACACAGTTTGCTGCAGTCATCCATTTCCTCCTGGCTAAGCTGGGAGGCTATCACCATGGAGCTGGCAGCTGTGGTTTCTCAGAAGTCAGCCCCTACACCACAGGACACGTGAACACTCGGAAGTAGTCAGCAGCCTGTCCAAACCACTCTGTTGTGCAGATATTAATGCAAATGGCATGACTGGGCAACAGCTTGTCCCTGTATGTTCTGCACATGCAGGCTACCCCCTCACCGGCGTCTGAGAACTCCCCCTACTCCATTAACCAGCCTGCCAGCTGAGAAAGTCAGATTTCATAAGGCCTGGAACTTTGACCTCAGTAGGAAAGACCCTCAAAGAAAGCTCAGAGTCACCTAAGACTGCAACTGGCCAACCTCCTTTTCCAAGTGCCAACAAGGACATTTAAGTCTCCCAGGGCAACTCCAGTTGCAATGCTTACAAATATCTAAAGGGTGGGTGCCAAGAGAACAGGGCCAGGCTCTTTTCAGTGGTGGCCAGTGACAGGACAAGGCACAACAGGCACTAACTGGAACACAGGAGGTTCCACCTGCACGTAAGGAAAAACTACTTTACTGTGAGGGTGACAGAGCAGTGGAACGAGCTCCCCAGAGCAGTTGTGGAGTCTCCTTCTCTGAAAGCTTTCAAAACCTGCCTGGATGCTATCCTAGGCAATCTGCTCTAGGTAAACCTGCTGTAACAGACCCCTACCATTCTGTGAGCAAGCAGAATACCAACAACGTAGTCATGGAAAGTTATCTGTCATCACACTAACCTCAGAGCTGTCAATTTACCAGAGATACACAGTCAGCAGAAAAACATCTTGTGATAACCCCTAAAAACTATGTTCTACTGTAGCAACACTTCCCCTTTCAATCATGCAGAAAAGCAGCAGCTGAGAAGGAAAAAACAGAGGGGAAAAAAGTAAGACTTTGTAAAACTCTTCACACAGAACAAGTAAACTATGGGACACCTGCCCCCTCCTGTCCAAACCCCTCACCCCAAACAGATCATCTACAAGCACAGCACCTAAAAACAGATTTCCAGTTCTACAAAGAAAGTAGTCACATTTAATTTGTCCTGTGAAGCTGGGCATTACAATAAACTAGTTCTCACTCTCTACTAAGGAAACAAGCTGTAGCTTACTATGCCAAGTTTTGCTTGAGCTGGTAGGCACACACACTTGTGCATCTCTTAGGGATGCTGTATCCTTACAAAGAACACAACTGGGTTATTAAGAGACATGTTGACAGGAGAAATGTTATAGCAAATTGTGAGAAGCCAGAAGGTACAGTTTTTACCTCCAAAACCTATTAAGACAATACATATCCTTAATACTCAAAAGCATTTATTACTCCACAGTTGTTCTATCAAGCACATCTCAACCAAACTTCAAGAAACAAGTTTCCTTTGTGAAGAGCTGATAAGGGAATAAAGGGTTTGGATCCAGCAATTTTAGTAATGGAGCAAAAGTATGGGTCCAAGGGCCAAGTGGCCCTCCAGAACCAGCTGAAGTAATAGCTGCAGGAAAGGATAATACCATTTTAATCATGAAGCCTGGGCATGAAAAATGGGAACATGTCCCTGCAAATAAGTGTCACTTGTGAGAATGACCAGATGGTGTAGAACCTTGGTTCTACAGACCCAGTGTGGAGCTGCCAAGAGTGAGAGGACAAAGTGTGAAGAATCTCAATTTGTATGTAATGGTAGACATTACATTTCCTTACTGTGGAGATATGATGGTGATGGCAGTGTCAGAAGTGCCTGCACAAGGAGGATATGTGCTGAATCTGTGTATATCAATGGGCAGCATGTGCCTAACAGACAGCAGAGTGATGAAGATCCAAACTGCAAGGATGGGTCTGATGGGGTGTCAAAATGTGCTGAGTACATGAAACCAGCTGTGGACCTCAGCCAAGCCAGAGTATCCCTGCATCCTGGAAATGCACAGTGGAGAGTGATGGTTTGGCATCTGGTGGTAGCGTGAGGGTTGTGGCTCATCCCTGTGCCAAAACTCTGGATGATGGTTGCCATATGGATGATGTCCACAACCAGGCAAGAAAGACCTTCCCGATTGGTTTTCAGGAGTCTGGCCAGCCTTGGGTGGGAACCAATTAGAAGATCACTACCACGTGCCCCCACCTTCCACATTAACTTGGAGGCAGGACAAGAAGCCACCTCTGTAGGATCTGACTCTGCTTGCAGTGAAGCTGGGAGGCTTTCCCACACAGTGCACGTGCTGTGTGAGGATTCCAGCTGTTGGAAAGGCTCCCTGACTCTGCATAGCAAGTGGAGCTCCCAGGACAGCAGGGCATGATGAGTCTCTCTCTCTGGGGAGCTACTACATAACTGGGCTCCTTGTCTGGCTGGTTCCATCTACCATGGCATGGTTCCTTGGCCAGGTCGCTCCCTTCCGCACATGTCGTGAGTGAATGTATTGACTTATTCCTCCCTCCAGTGGTCTGACATGTTGGATCACTGGTGTATGATTTAAGAGAGAGGGAGGACTTTGGTTGCTGGTTTGCCCTTTAATGATACTCTCCTTTTATGTCAGGCAAGTGGTCAGCAGAAGATTTTGTTATGTTTTAGAGCAACAGACATGTAACTGAAAGGACAAAAATGGCTTTGCAGAACAGCACAAGAGACGTTCATGATCTGTTCACTTTTCTTACTTAGATGTTCCCAAACGCTGCTTCCAAGTTATTTTTTAATTTCATCTTTGAAACAAAAAGGATTTGGAGAAAGCCGAGTCACCAGACATTGCATAAAAAGCCAAGAGCAACTCCATGTCTGTCCTGTAATACTGGAAGGAAGGGATGAGAAAGATACATGCCGTAACCGACTTGCAAGAACAGGAAACTCAGCACATAGTTCTGAGAGCAGGGAGGTCAAGAAAAGTCTGAAAAGCCACCAAGAAGTGGAGAACACATAGAAAGAAAAAAATATTTTCAAATACCAGACACTAGAAAAGAGTGGTAAAATAAAAGCCTCAAGCAGATGGAGAACTGGCAGAGAACAGGAAGGTAACCAACAGGATCAAAGGTACTTTCTGTGGGAATATTCCAGCTCAGGGACAAATGCCACCAGTAGCTTCCAGTCAGCTGCTTGGGCTGGGCTGTTTTTAATTATTCCCAGCACTCTTGTTAATGGCAGATGAAGATGGGACTGAGGCAGCAAAATCAGCTGCGAAGCAACTGTGATCAGACACACAACCCTCTCACCTCACATGACATTTCCTCATGTCCAGGAGCACAGGTAGGAATCCCAAATGGGAAGCCCTTCCTACATTAGCAATAGATGGAAATAGGAACTGGATTAACACATGCCTCTGGAATTCTTAGGAGGGATACAGTGCCACAGAGGTAACAGCTGGGAAACTGCCTACCACACACCAACTGCCCCAGCAATGCTCCTCAGCCTCCTCTGCTGATCACTACTGGGTGGGCTGTTAGAGTTCATTTTGGGATCACTGGGCTGCAGCCCCTCTTCCTCATAGCTCAGGAAGGTACACTCTTATTCTCTAATGCTGGAGGTTGCACGAAGGCATTGTCCACAAAGATCTAAGCACAGGGAAGTTTCACAGAAGCTCAGTTATTTCCCCAGGATGACAAAACAGCACTCAGTAATCTTATCACAGGTTAAAGAGGATATTGCAATATGTGAACTCCTGCGAAACTCTTTCAAATTTACAGATCTTGTTCATTCACTAGCAAGCCTGAGTTGAGAGCAGGACCTTTAATGTAGAGCTGGATATACCTGAGATAACAGCGACTCGTAGCTGCAACGTGCAAGACCTCAGGGAAAGTATGCAGTCTGAATCCAGCATGTGTTTCCCTCCAGCCCCAGTAAAAGACAGATGTTCCCCAAATACATATCCAAATATTTTTCTGAAATTGTGCCAAATTCTCTTTAAAACCTTCCTGGATGACCTTGCACTGGCCTGGAGAAGAAATGTCTTCTTCCATTAACTAATAAAGCACATGAGCATTAACACTGCCCCTACAACACTGTCACTCATCCAGAAAAGATGTTTCTTTGTTTTAGCTCAAACACACACTCCACCCCATCCTTATCCTGGCTTAATGAGTCTACTGAGCTAAAAAAAAACACCACAGAAAAACCACAACAAACTGTGCATTCATCTGGGGAAGAGATGTTCACAACAAAGAGCTGTAGCAGTTTAAAATACAACTGCACCCATCACAGCCATCTTTCCCCTTCCTGTTTCCCCTTTCCTCATCTTTATTTTCATCAGAGGCTATGGCTCACACAGCAGAACCAGTGGAAAAGAGCACGTGTTTGGCTGCATCAGCAAGATGCAGGACCAGGATCTCTGTTTCAGCAGCTGACAATGAGGGTGTAAGCTAAGCTGCCAGTCCCTCAGCCTCAGCATGAGGAAGAACATTTATACATTTCATTCATGACTACTGAAAAGACAATAGCTGTCAGCTCAGGTAAAATGCAGAGTCCCTCTTACAACATAGAGATAACAGTTTATCTGACTATGTCTAGACCATGCTACAAATACCAAATATATTTAGCTTGTAGTTCTTTCACTAAGGTTCAAGCAAATGTGTACCACACTACACCTGCCTCAAGCTAAAAGTGTGCCTGGCTATTATGGTTCAGAAACTGTAAGCCA